TTTCTATTTACCTCTAATTTCTAATTGATTTCTCATTCATAGTAATTTCGAAAATCACCATTAACGTTCACATTCACGTTCCTTTCAAGTTTTCTTTCTCATTTTCAGTAAGTATCAAATTTTTTTTCTCATTTTCTATGCATGCCAATACCTACTAATTTCTAATTGATCAAAAAATACAAGATAGAGGGTTAAAAGCAGGTAAAATAGTGATTTACTATTATACAACTGATATAGAACTAATTGACTTTTGATATACTATATTGATTTACTTCTGATATACTAATGTTGTCAATATACTCCTGATATATACGTGATATATAATAACGAAGCGATAACTGAAAAGGATAATTTGGGAATACTGAAAATTTTAAAATCAGGATTTAAAAAAAAATGTTATACGTTAAAAAAGGCATGCTATTTAATTTTTTTCAATCATTAAAAAATGTGAATCACTAGTCTTTGACAATAAAATAAAATATAACTCCATAGAGCTTATCTTTAACACATGGAAAGAACTTTGCTAAATTGCTACATTAAGTCGACTTCTTTTAAAGTAAAGATCTATAATAATTAAGTTGTGTAATCGAAATATAAGAACAAAAGATCAACTTTAAAAAGCATAAACGTCAGATATTGAAAGTAGAATTTAAATATAATGTTGGCACTAAAAATAATAATTTAGCCTTAAAATTATCAAGTGGAAAGTCATCCAAGTTGCCGACTATTTTTTTCTTTTCTAGATAAAATTTGCGAAACTCAGCAATCAAAAGAGGACGAAATTTTGGCGAGAAGTTAGGATATATTGCAGAAATCATATCAAATCTTCCAATAAAAGTTGGTAGAGCTAGTGAGATCCTCTCTACTAGTTAAATAATCAACCCCAAAACGTAAATTTACTACACTTAATTAGGCTTGCCCAACAAAACAAATATATATATATATAAAAGTTGATAATTTGGCATTATTATATACCATACCATGAAATTTAAACAAATGATGTAGTGTATAATATTAATCAAAACCGTCTCACAGTACATTTAGTTAAAAGAGAGATACCGATGATGATATACAAAACTTTATAAAAATGAAAAGCAAATCCACGGGGTAGAAGATTGTTTTGAGGAATAAAATGAATAATATCGCAGATATCCGTTACGTTGGTCCTAATTACACATATATTTGACACCAATTACCAATAATCTTGCAAGTACTTTGTTTCCACGCGTGGAATCCAACAAGAACCAGAGGGCACTTGATTTACAATAATTAAAATTAAATAAAGGAATTAAACAGGATGATAATGATGCGTGCATGTGCATGTGCATGTGCATCTATATATATATATATATATGACGAAGTTTGCAGAATGTGAATAATATATAGAGATCAGGCGAGAAATTGCAAAATGTGGAGGTTGAATTGTAATTATTATAAGTTGTTGGTTCTGGTTGTAGTGTGTTGTTGGGTTGTGTTTGGGAGTGTGAGTGAAGGGCGGCGTTTGGGAGAAGAATTAATAGAGAGAAGGCGCGTGAGGGAGTTGGTGGAGGCGTTGAAGGAAGCAGCCAAAGAAGTTGCATATCACCCGGCGAGGTCAACCCCTGGAGGACCTGACCAGCACCACCATTGATTCATCTCCTACGTGTACACCGTTGTTGTGTTCTCAATCTCAATGTTCTAATTTTGCTGTTTCTCGTCAACACAACTTTGTCGTTTAGTAGTGTGTACAAGTACTGAGGTGTCGTGCATGTCCAGTTTCCGCTTACTGTGATAATTCAAGTGCCAAACTTTCAATTATCGAGTCGGAATTCAATTTTTGTTTTCTAGTTTGACTTAATTCTCCCTCTCCTATTTGTATGTGTTTAGTACTATTTTGTCAATGAAAAAAATAGTTAAAAGCTACGAGGCCTATAGTTAGGGCCTCATACTGAGGAACAACTATTGAGAATTAGTGGTTGCCCTAATTCTAATACATGTCATGTCACCAATAATTTCGATACAAATTTAGGTTATTAGTTGCGCTGTGTCGACCTTTTTTTGAGCTCCTCCCAACCCTTTAACTATATTCAAATTAGTTGGTACTGGGTAGGAATTGTAGGAATAATATATTATATTGTATTAAATTGAAACCGATTAGTTTTGTTGTGCTGGCCATCGAAACATTCAAATTATTTCTTTTTGATTCGTGGACTTTCAAAACATTAAGATCGAGGATATATGTCTTTAACAAATTAAGCTATGTTCAACTTATTTTGTCTCTGTAATTTTTTTAACATATTAATAACTTAGATGTCATACTTGATAATTAATCATTTGGTTGTGTTTTTAAAGATTTTTTTTTATAATTTTATTAGTAAGTTTTTAATCACTCCTATTTGAATTTTTAACCAAATTTAAAAAAAAAAAATTGAAAACTAGATCTTTAAATTTGGTTTAGATTTTGAAAATACTTATAAAAACTATATAATAAAATAGAGGAAAAGACTAAAATGGTTATTAAAGGAGAGGGAACTCAATAATATATGAATACATAGATATTGCTAACTCTCTCACCTATATATATATATATATATATATATATTTTTTTAAGTTTTGCCCAATCTCAAAGAAATTTCTAACTCTTTGTCTCTATTTGGTTGCACTCCTCACAATATTTTTTAAAAACAAAAAATAAAACCACTAAAAATCTTCTCTTAACGGTCATCTAAGATCACACATGGAGAGAAAATCGATGTTAATTAATGAACAACTTTTTAATCGCACACCCTTCACCATATTTTGTTTTGTTTGAACTCACAAATCTGGTATATGTCAATTGCCGTTGAGCTATGTTTAATTAAGATAGAAAAATTAAAATATTTTTTATTTTATGTAATAGTTATTAATTAAGTTTTTTTTAGTACAACATGTTGGGGAAGGGATGCCTCGAATAGTCATGCACTCATCTACGAGAGTCCCCTGACTGTGATAAGGCTTACCCATCACTCTTGTTCAATATGGTATGATATTGTCCGCTTTGGGCATAGCCCTCACGGCTTTGCGTTTGGTTCCACTCAAAAGGGCCCCATAACAATGAAGATAATTGTCTATATTACTGGCTGGCTGGTTTTTATGCAAAAAAGACAAAACGGAATTGGATTTCCACTCATAAGGAAGGAAGGTTAGATACCTTTGACAGGGTTGTCTTTTTGGTTGAAATGGGATGRTGTTCAAACTCCCGAAATGCAGTCTAGACAGCAGGCCCTCCCCTTTCTGACTGGACTAACTCTCAGGGTCAATCTCCTCCGGAGCATGCTGCACAGCCACTCATTCGTCCTGACCAAATAGTCGAATCTATCTCTCAGCGATTCTTTTCTCCACTAATAACCCCTTCCCAACCAGCCCGCCCGATCGATTTTGTAAGATCGGCTAATTCAAAGGGGTTAATCTGGTCCRAAGTTGTCGGAACGAATCGTTTGCTTTATCGAACAAAGCTTTATTAGGGGGTCTTGGTTGGCCCCCTATTGTCAACCATTACAGCTGGCATCGACCAGCTTTGCGATACGGACGGACACAAAARAGAACGCAGGCAGCGGAAATGCAAAAGAGAAGAGCAAACATTCCCGACCCAGAGCATGTTATTGACTCCTCTCTTATATACCCATGATCATTAACTTCCATAGCCAATGTGAGACTTTTTTGTACTCCTTACAAACCCAACAGGTATAACACGCGGGGTCGAAATTCAAACTAAATAAATTGTTTAATCAGTTGAGTCATGCTCATGTTCACCAATTTCAACCATCAGCATCTCGATTGTTGACAAAAGCACAACTTCCAATTGTTGCTGCTTTTTTTTATTAGCTTAACTAGTTGAACTATGCTCAGTGTAATTTACTCTCTCCTTGACAGAACATTTCTCAACAAGTAAGTTGTATATCTCCGATCAAGAAGTCGTTTGTTCGAATTCCTCATCCATGATATTTTAGTAAAAAAAACACAAGAAATCAAATTTATTCCTCAAATATTTACTTACAAAACAAATTTTAGAAGGACGACAAGAAGAAGGATTAAAAAGCCCTAAAGTGTCCCAAAACTTAAAAGCAATTGAAAATGACAATCCTTTTGTTTTTTCTTTTTTTTTTCTCTTAATCAAAACGGTAGATGGCCATTGCGAAGCTGCAAAAGTGGTAAAACTCCTTTGCGAAAACAAAAAAACAAAAAGAGAAAGTGGTAAAACTCGTGTGTAAAGAACCATAGCCTACGGGAGATTTTTGTTTTGTAGAGAAGAGTCCAAAACCAAAAGAGAGACTTTTTGACGTCGTTTGCTAATCCTTTTTAACCAACATTCAAAACCTCCTGATTTGCAACAAATGACGGGACGCTGCACTTAAACCCATAATTACTGGATATCGCATCGTAATACATCCAATAAATCAAACATTAAGTTTTGTTACAAATTCTGCTTTGCTTCTGCCTCATCACTCATCATATTCCAACTCCCATGTAATTTCTTGTCCATATTTGTTTCGTAATCTTTAAAAGCAATGAAAAGAAAAAGGAATTCTGGCATTTTGTCAAGCAATGAAAAGAAAAAGGAATTCTATTGTTTTGATGAGATTGCCTGATAGTTACATCGTGGTTTGAACCAATTCTTTTTAAGAAAATTTCAGAATTTATCTGGACCCCTTTCGACTAATAAATCAACTCATGATAATTTATTGAATTATTATGTACTAAAATTAAAGGACGTTACCAATTTGAGAGTATGATGACTCTTACCAACTACGGTTTATAGATTACATCATTACTTCAATTAAGGTATAGAAAAAAAGTGTTATTTAAAAAGTACCAAGCCTTTATTTTTTTTAAAAATAAAATTTATAAGTTGGAATAAATTTATAAATTTAAGAATTACATTACCTTCTCTTAAAGAGGCTATTTGCTATTTTGTGGGCCGGGCTATATTGAACTTGGGAATAGTGTTGTAACCCCCAAGTTTTGATGACACTCCAGGAAGATCGGGAAGAGCTCATCAAAGTTGGAACCTTTGTGGATTCTATGGCATGCAAAATACTGGAGCTAGTTCTGAATGTCAATTTGGGCCTGAATTACGGTGTGAAGCCCTTTGATCTTCGCGCTCTCATCTTCTACAAAGTACAATCTTAGTTTTTGTTCATGTGTCAAATAAATAAATAAAAATCATACTTCTTTTAAGTTTGGGTATCGCGAGTTTCCTCGTCCAAACCTGAAACCGAATGATGAATTTGATATCCGGTGTCATGGGAAGATGATTAATGGCAGATTTCGCGCGGTTACACAGCGCATTTTCTCATCGCTCAGCGATTCTGCTCCCTCCTCCTTCGCTGCAGCCCAAATTTCGAACCAAACATCCACTTCTTTGTCATCGTCTCTGCAACATTACATCAATTCAGACGACCCTTCCCCTGGCCAGAAGATCCATTCCCGTATTCTCAAAACCGGGTTCATACCCAATACGAATATCTCCATTAAGCTCCTCATTTTGCACCTAAAATGTGAGTCATTGAAGTTTGCACGCCAAGTGTTCGACGAATTGCCTAAAAAGACTCTTTCTGCTTACAATTATATGATCAGTGGGTACATAAAGGAGGGAAAGGTAGCAGAACCACTTGCTCTGGTCCGTGGGCTCATAATTTCAGGAGAAAGGCCCGATGGGTATACGTTTTCAATGCTTTTAAAGGCGGCTACTTGTGCACATGATGTTTCTGTACCGCGCAGTTTAGGAAGAGTTCTTCATGCCCAGATATTGAAGTCGGATGTGTCACCAGATGATGTACTTTACACGGCTCTTATTGACTCGTACGTTAAACATGGCGATGTATATTTTGCAAGGACGGTGTTTGATATGATGTTGAAGAAGAATGTGATATGTTCAACATCGATGATTTCAGGATATATGAATCAGGGATTAGTTGAAGATGCTGAAGAAATTTTCAGCAAAACCGTTGAAAAGGATATAGTTGTATTCAATGCAATGGTTGAAGGTTATAGTAAAACACTTGAACATGCCAAGAAATCGCTTGAGGTTTATATTGATATGCAACGTTTGTGTTTTTCACCAAATATTTCAACATTTTCCAGCGTTATTGGTGCTTGTTCGGTGTTGGCAGCATTTGAAGCAGGCCAACAAATCCAAACTCAACTTATGAAGACTAGATTCTTCACAGATATCAGAATGGGAAGTGCTCTTATAGACATGTACTCCAAATGTGGAAGAATAGAGGATGCTCGCCGAGTTTTCGACCAAATGCCAGAGAGAAATGTCTTCTCATGGACGTCTATGATTGATGGATATGGCAAAAATGGATATCCAAGTGAAGCACTTCAGCTCTTTCGCGTCATGCAATCTGAACACCAGATTCGGCCAAACTTTGTCACCTTTCTTAGCGCTCTCTCAGCTTGTGCGCATGGAGGGCTAGTAGAGAAGGGCCGGGAGATTTTTAAAATCATGGAGAGGGACTACTCATTGAAACCGAAAATGGAGCATTACGCATGTATGGTTGATCTGCTGGGACGTGCAGGAAGTTTACATCAGGCTTGGGAATTTGTTATGCAAATGCCTGAGACTCCTAATTCTGATGTATGGGCAGCTCTACTGAGCTCATCTAAGCTCCATGGTAACATTGAAATGGCCTGCATAGCTGCCAACGAACTATTTAAGTTGAACGCTGATGGCCGGCCAGGGGCGTATGTTGCATTGTCTAATACTTTTGCAGAAGCTGGGAAATGGGACAGTGTTAGTGAACTGAGAGAGATTATGAAGATAAGAAGAGTTAATTGCAAAGGTAGCAGTTGGGTTGGGACTGATGACAGCTTATAAAGTTTCCATCTTTGATAGACGATGCAGTGAGATATATAGCAAGAGCATTGGAACGATTAACATTTGATTTGATTTGATTTGAGTTAAGAAAGTACACAGAAGGATTCAGCAATTTACCTGCAGAAATATTTGAAGAAAATTTGGATTAGTTATCCACGAGAGAGGCGGAAACACCATGAGTTTACTAATCGTCGATCACCAGCATCTTTCAGCCATGGCCAGCAAGAGTTAAGATGTTAACTGTGCAATTTTCTGGTCCATCCATGTTTGAACTTGTCATACTTGGTTTAGTTTTCTTGAAGTTTTCAAAATGATCCGATGTCAAATTATCATAGTCAAACTTTATACTATTTTTAAATTATCCAAATGACCTGAATAAAGAGGTAGCAACTTTTAAGGCTGGCTCAGGCCGGTGCAATGAGATTCATTGAGGAAATGATGTGGGGTTATGCTAATAGTTGTCTATGTTGTGCGTTATTCCCAATACGGAGCTTTAAAGTAGCTATAAACTTCGGTGACAAAATAAGAACATAGGCATGGCAATTATCTGCAGGCTTCAGCCGAGTGCTTCTTTGTCTGCCTGCCCATTTACAGTCTAAAAGAGAACAAAGGATTAGGAGATAATCATGTGCTGCTGCTGCTGTGAGAAATGTAACTGCAGGCCTCTCGGTTTTCTTCTCGGCCTGCCGTTCGCCTTCCTTGCCCTCTTCATTGGCTTCATCGGAGCTATTATTTGGATTTTTGGGTTAGTTCGTATATATTGTACTGACATCTCTTTCTATCATTTTATAACTATTCTGTTTTTAGTTCCAATTTTAAAATTTTAGTCATCTCTTTCTTTTTCTGGTTTTGCAGATCGGTGCTGACTTGCATATGTCCTTGCTGCTTGTGTGTGACTGTGGTGGTAGAGTTTGCATTGGCTTTGATCAACGCTCCAATTCTAGTCATGAAATGGTTCACCTCCAAAATCCCATGTTAGGCTCTTTTCCTTGAAGGTTATACACCAAATATTTATCAATTAATCGGATGAGATAAGAATTACTTGTCAGTGTCAACTGGTTAACATACTCATGGTTGTACTCTTATCTTCTTAGAAAATAATACATTAATACTCTCAACGGCTTAGTTATAAAAATTAGTTCTTGGGATATCGTAACGTTGAATTAATATGTTGGGAATGTGATAAAAGTTCCATAATGACTAAGGAAGGGGAAAATTTAGAGATTTCATATTCATTGCTATAAAAAAATGTGAAACAAAAAATAAAGCTACGAGAGAGCTTAGGTTAACAAAAAAATAAAGCTACGAGAGAGTTTAGGTTAACTAAAAAATAAAGCTATGAGAGAGCTTAGGTTTAAAGTGGACAATATAACCTAAGTGAACAATATTGTACGCATCCTTGTAGAAGTCCATGGTCCCTAATATAATAATTTGGTAGTATTAACTCTGGTTTATTTTGTTTAGTACGTTAATACATAAAATTGGAATTTTCTAGATGTAAATTGTAATTTAATAGTTGTATTGGTGTGGTTTGGTAAATCACGCCATGCGGTTGGAGATTTTGGAGGGATCGAAATTGGAGATTTTGGGGTTTGAAGAACCAAACTTACTCAAAAATCGAATCGAGACAGTCTAGTTCGAGTTGGTTTGGTTTTAAATTCTATCGAGGTGTAGTTCAATTCTTTTAATGTATGTAAAAAAAAAATGGTGTGGGTTCGATCTCATTTACGGTGATATTAAATTAATTCATGTGTCGACGTCTCCATAATGTAGAGAGATGGTATTCCATCGGCACTGCAACAAATCATTAATGACGTTAGAATATTAAATTAGACGCAAAATATTGCAAAAGGAAAAAACTATAGAAATACAGATAAATTTGTACCTTACCTCGAAGAAGGTCCATCCAATAATTTATCACAGGCCTTGACTAGTAAATTGTTTTTTTTTTAAAGTCTCGACTAGTAAATTGTTAATGCCAAACATAAGATATGGAGAATTTTAGGTAAATTGTTTCTTAAAAATTAATTTATATTTAAAGTAGTATGATTGTGATAAACTGTAAAAAAACATTATCAATTACCTTAGGATCATTTGAATTAAAAAAAAAAGCCTTAGGATCATATATTTCAAGAGATATTTCCATGAAAATGTTATATGTTTTTTGAAATATATTAATTTTTTTAAAAAAATATATTAAAACAACAAAAATATTGTATAGGTTTATATGATGGGTGATAATTTCGTTAGTTATTATAAAAAAGCAAATTACAAAGATTAACTTGAAACTTTACGGAGAACTACTAAAATGAAATAAAAATGAAAACAGAAAGTCATAGAATTCAAAAACAACAATATTTTGTTAAGAGGATTAACTTTTTAAATTTCACCTAACTCTATCTAACAAATTTTGTTAAATAAAAAAAAAAGTCATATTTACAATTATGTTTTAAAATCTTTTATATTTACAATTACTTTCATAAAAATACTTCAAAAAAATAGTTACCCGCCGAAACTTCCCCCCAAAAATATACAGTTAATCTTTAAATCATAATCAGAGCACATCAGCACACACGGAAAGCTACAGTGAGGCAGAAGCGAAAGCGACAATGGAGACCCAAAAATCTCCGGCGAAGCCAGTAGCAGAGAATCAGCTCAAATCCCCACTGTCTTCACCAAGCTACACGAAGACTCCTCATAAGTCTCTATTCTCCCGCACTTCGGTAAGTAAATTTCACGGAGTTCCGGTCATCTCCACCCGCGACACCTCGACTTTACAGAGCTTCGCGACCGGGAGTCACGGTTGAAGGCTGAGCTTCTCGAGAACAAACACCTGAAGGAATCGTTTGCCATTGTTCCGGTGCTTGAGAACGGGATTTATCTCAAGGAAACGGAAATTGAAAGAGCTTTGATTCTAATCAAACGCTTGAAGGCCGAAACTGAGAGGATAAAGAAAGAGTTGGAGGAAGTTCATCAGAAGATGGAAGGAGAGAGGAGAAATAGTCGGGAAATGATGACAGTGATGGAGGATGAGACGGTGCGATCGAAGAGGATGGATTCGGATCGTCTCAATGCGAAGCCGGCGTCGGATGACGATGAGTCTTCTCGTTCAGGAAAGTTTCGGAGACTGATGGAAGTGTCTGTTAATTCGAATCTGATTAGTAATTTGAAGGAAGGTCAAGAACTTAAAGCATATGCGAAGAACGGAGCAATTATTGAAAGACCGAATTACTCAGAGTGTAACTCGGAAGAACTCGCCGAGTCCGCACTCTTCAATCCAATATCTGACCGTTTTACGATTCCAGAATCCCCGAAAAGACAACAGTTCCTATCGTCGATTACTTCAAAACTGTTGCACCACGGCCAGCAGTTCCGGTGAAGCCAGTATCGCAGCCTTCTCCTCCACTATCTAATTCAGTTCCGGCACCGCCACCATCCAAAGAAAAGAGGTTGATCTGGCCAAAGTTAGGCGAGTGCCGGAGGTGGTGGAATTCTACCACTCTCTGATGCGGGGAGACTCCCGAAAAGACTGCAGCTCCGCCGTGATGGACATACCGACAGGCGCCAATGAACGTAACATGATCGGGGAGGTTGAAAACTGTTCTGCATATCTACTCGCCGTAAGTCGATATGATATTTACGACGTTGCCACTTTAGTCTCCCGCTTGTATTGGATCTTCAATGACTGCTTGTTCTGATTTGATTAATTTATTGGCACCTTTTGCTATTTCTGTCTCATTAATTATACTGCTCCAAAGATAAGATGATATGACGACCTTTTTCTCTATGAAGAGAGAAAGAAAAAATTAAGGAAAAAGAGAACTATAAAATAAGACATAAACCATCGAAAGATTAATCATACATGATTAACTGTGCGTTGATATGTTTAATTGAACGTTGAAACATAAGTTAGCTCCATTTATGGTTTAATTTAAATAATTAGTTACTGGAAAGCTATTTAGTTTAGTAATAGTTAATCAGTCATTAAGGTATGTGTATGTGTTCTAGTGATCAAATCCAATTAGATATAACTACTGTACAGATCGGTTAAAATGCTTAACTCCTGTCTCTACATATTCTGATTTTTCTGCTTTGGATGAATGGAGAAAAGCTAGTTGTGTGCTGAAGATCATTTATGCAAACAAAGATATTACAGTTTTTGGTGAATCATTGTGGCCAGTGATAAATATGGTGATGGAACCTGCAGATAAAAATGGACGTAGAAACCAAAGGAGAGTTCATAACGCATTTGATCAAAGAAGTTGAGAATGCAGATCTTACGGATATTGAGAATGTTGTGACTTTTGCTAAATGGCTGGATGATGAGCTATCTTACCTGGTATCTCATACATTCTTTCTCGTCTTCATCTTCCCTCACTCACCACGTGTAGTTTTTAAATTTTGCTTGAAACGTTAAGAACCTGAGACAGCAGATTGGTACTGAAAGTTCTGGTTTCTTCATCTCTAGGTTGATGAACGAGCAGTGCTAAAACATTTTGAGTGGCTGGAGCAAAAGGCTGACGAGATACGTGAGGCTGCATTTGGTTATCTGATATGAAGAAGCTTTCATTCGAGGCATCATCTTTCGGTGACGATGGTCGACAGGCACGCAATATCACTCTCAAGAAGATGCAAGCTTGGCTTGAAAAGTATGAGTTCTTTTCAATTGAGATTTGACAACTACTTTAGTTACTGTTTTTTAACCTGCAGTTTCATGATTTCCTGCATTTTTTAACAGGTTAGAGCATGGGGTTTACAATCTTTGTCGGATGAGAGAATCTGCTACTATGAGATACAGGTATTGGATGCTTGATACCGGGGCCATTAGCCAAGTAATTTCTCAACTCTGCTTTATGCTTGGGAATTATTTCTGAAAAAGATAAAATATTATTGGAACTCAAAAGCAAAATTAAATCTAGGGCTCAACATGAGGCAACAGTAGCGATTTGTATGACTTGGGACTAAATTTCATTCATGTTCATAATGAACAATGTCAGTTTTAACATATCTAGAGCTATGAATCGACAGATTAAGCTCCAATCCTTCAAATTGGCAGTGGAGTATATGGAACGAGTATCTGCAGAACTTGATACGGTGTATGGCTGCTCCAAAGAACAGTTGATCATCCAAGGGGTAAGGTTCGGATTTCGAGTACATCAGGTAAACTATGCAAATTCAATTATATTGGCATAATATAGTTACAATATATTCAGTTGTTAATTATAGCTGATTGGAGGGAAACATCTTCTGTTTCTCCAGGTTGCTGGAGGATTCAGTATGGAAGCAATCACGGCATTCCGAGAGCTGAGAGAGTCAGATTCTGCCAAAATCAGGAACCAATAGCTGTCGGCAGTTCTGGTGACTAAAAGTCTGCAGCAAACTCAGGTTCAGAATTCCTCGCGTCTCCCAATCTGCTTCGATGGTATGTTATCAAACATCTTCCGTATAGCAATTCATAATATGTAATTAGTTCTCCCTCATTGAATGCTTGGGGTGTGCATAAATAGATCAATAAATTTGTCATCTCTAATTAATAGATTATTTTATTGATGGATTCAGATTACTCCCTATCTTAGATTAAGTATTGCACCATTTTATCTTCTACCTCTGCAAGATTGCTCGAGCTTCTGTTAGGTTAGCTGGGCCAAAAATGAGCATATAGAAGTAGAAGTTAAGAAAGTATAAGATTTGATTCGCACAGGAATTCAATTACAGTTATGTCAAATTAAGTGAATGGAAGTCAACGTGGAAGATTACCACAATAGTGCAAACGGGACTGCTGCTTTCAGTAATAAATTTAAGAAAACCAATTACTTTGACAAGTTGCATCACTGTGAAAAGATTAAAAAACTATCCATCAAATCAGGTGTAAAGCTAAATGGGTACAAACTAAACTGAATAAACCAGAAGTTCATTCCTAGTCCTGTAAAATTTCATCTCCTAATCACAAGCATAAACAATCCACCTTTCACAGTATCTTATCCATTATGCTCCTTTTCTCTGTACCACTCCAATGAATAGTATTCTTGTTACTTTTTTTTTTCCTTTCATTTCTTTTTATTTTCTGATGTGAAGAAAAGAGAGTTGTCTCCAAGTTTTTCTTCACAGAGATCTCGTAGTAAAGTTTATTTAACTTCACATGGTTAGGAGAGCAGCGTACATGAGCTGGTTCCATGTATCTGGCAATCCCGGAAGGCACCAGTGACTGCAGTCTGTGCCTCCCTCGCCACCATAACCCGCGGGATGGGCATCTTTCCGCAGCTGAGAAAGCGTCGTGATGTCCAGCAAGTAAACAGGTACTTTTATCCTACTCAACACTCTATTTACAACATCTGCAGCTGGTGGTGCGCCTGCCGGATACATGGATCCGGATAGTGGCTCACTCTCTCCAATGCAGTTCTTTCTTGGCTCATTCCATTCCTTCCCCCTGATTCATAGCAGCTCAACTATTAGGTAAACCAGAATGGGAGAATCTAATTCCTTGAAAAATAAACTGAAAAGACAAAATTTACCCCAACCAAATAACTATAACCATCGAGTCTACCATGGGTTAACTAACACAATTAATCACATAAAACACTTAACTTTAGACTGAAATGAATAATGACCTATATCTCTCCTACTACAATCAAAAGTCATTCAAATCCATACGCAGAACCATAGAGACAGACAATATCTTATTCAGGGCAGCTGATTTTAGGTATGCATCACGAAAACATGTAGAGTAAGATGAAAAAGAAATTAAGAAAGGCACTATTGCTTTTAAACTTGTATACAAGGTGTTTGCAAAAATTCATGCATGTTAAGGTTGAATAAACCACCGTTCAATTCAAAAGCTCAAACAAGTGAAAATCATTATAAATGGAGAGGAAATAATAATGCAGAAGTTGACCTCATTCTTTAATATCATATTAAGGACGAAGAAACTATCATTCAATCCAAAAGTTTAAGCGATGGGTTGGGTAAATTTAATTCTCATAGAAATATCTCAATATTGTAGATTTACCTCAGATTGAGAGACTATAAGTTTCACTTACAAATAGTGGGTAGGCGAGATTCCCTGGAAGAAGACCTTGGTTTTTGTAGGATCAACATTGAAGTCAACCCATCTGGCCCATGTCGTAAGTCCCTTGTAAAATGCTACCAAACGGTCCATGTCTTGGTACCTTGTAGTCCCATCCTGTATGAAATCCCACCTGCAAGTGCAAATCACACATTCTCGTTTATCCCTCTACACCCAAAAAAGGCACAAGAAAATCTTTGAATGTTGATTTGATCATACGGCTGAGAGCGTCCTGTGTGGGTCCACCAATGCCACGAGTTGAAAATCAGGACGTCCATTCCTAGCCATGCTTTTCCAGCCTGGATGGAGTCTAGTTTTAGCACTCGCCCAACGTCCTGTCTCTCTATGTCCACTAGATAGGGAGTGCGATACAGGAGCAGTGTTACTCCATAGTCCTGCCCACACACAATAATTTCCTTCATTCATATTCACAAAATATATAATAGTTGCCAGCATTTCTTCTATCCTACCCTCATAGGTCAATCGATAGAATGATTTTGTTTGCAAGTTTTCATTTTCTTATCCTTAAATTGAGACCAAAACGTAAATGAACTATAAAGTTAATATCACTTCAAAATCAAATTACAAAATTACTCATAAACCAACCAGCAAATTACACTAAATTTAACCAACAAAACACCCAAAACAAAATGCCTAAAACCAATGAAAAAAATTACTCGAACTTAGGCACAAAATCGAACCACCAAAAAAATACACTAAAGCAACCAAAATCCAGGTGAAATTGTCCAACACAATTAGGAACACCCACTGTGATTAATTTAGTTACAAAAATGTCCGCAGCAAGCCATAATTTTTTTAGAAATTGAAAATTTAACTATTAGTGGTGTTAAGTTATCACTTATTTAAGTTTAAAATTCAATTTGATGTAATTAAAATTCTTAGGTTAAATCTTACTAAAAATTATTCTTCTTCCTAACTTATCAAGGCGTTAGCCGAAATGTCATCGATTGTTAAAAAATAATAATAAAATAACTGAGAGCCGCCACCCGTCACCGCGAGCGAGTTTGGAGGATTTTCCGATCCCAGGCTGTCAAGTGGTTGGGCGACGTAATACACGTGGCCACCGACATGGCCACTCTTTTGCGGGGCCATGCGTGCTTGGCGAGTCAAATAATTTCGATGGAATAAATTTTAAAATTACATTAAAATACGAAAATATAATTCGTAGGATCACGACCACAGATTCACAATTTAATATGTTTCTTAAAAAAAAAGAGATTCGCAATTTAATAAATTGGTATGCATTGCTTGCTGTCCCGATGAAGATAAAAAGATTCTCATCTTTCTATTTAATTCTTAAATACTTTTTCATGATTGGAAACAGATTCTCTGTCTCATAAATGAGATTGCAAGGTCAGCAAATCTACATGCAAGATTAATAAGTTATATAAATCCAACTTCACATTTTTAAAGTTCTATTGTAATGTTGGATAAAAATATGAATTTTCATTTCAAAGGTTGTTGAGCTATTTCATGGAAACTACTCTATTTTATTTATTATCATTTTTTAGAAAATCTTATATTTGTGATATTTTTAGTTACATTTTTTTTCATATAGTTAAGAAAATAAGGCTAAACTTAAAAAAAACAAAAATTCTCTTTATTTGATTTTCACATTTTTATAATCTTAATGAACTTTAAAGTTAAGCTTCATTTTCATTTGATTACTATTTTGTTTTTAAAAGTCTACTTTTTATAATTAACATATAAACACTACTCCCACTCATGTTTTGTTTTTATTTTTTATATTTCTTATGATTTCACAATATAACCCAAATTTAAAATCTAGAACTAGTAATTTAAAATTTTTGTTATTTTTGAAATTTGATTAAAATTTCAATTTTTTAATGATGAAAAATATATTCAAAAAATGGTAGGAAAACAAATATAATTTTTAAAAATAGAAAACTAAATCCATGAACTTAAACTAATAGTTCTAGAAAACTATTTGTCGTCTTTTAAATTTGGCTAAGAGCTTTTGTTTTTTAAGTGCAACAAAAATAAAGAAGCCACTAAATAAACTTTAATAATTAAAAAGTAAAAGAGCAAGAAGGTTATCAAAAGAAGTTTTATTTGATCAAATTTAATTATAATAAAAATGAAGAAAATAAACATAAAGATTTGAATAGTATTAGTTTCCACAGTATTATCCGAATGGAACTAAATTTAATTTAGGGTGTGTTTTATTATCAAAATAGTAAATTAGAAAATTAACTTTAAGAAAAAAAAATTTAGTATATAGAAAGGTGGAGATTTGAATAATCTAGGTGGGAGATATGTGTCTTTGAGTTAGACTTACTTTGACAATTTCTTAGAAAAATTTAAAATCACTTTAAATTGGTTTTTAAGATATCATTGGGAAGTGATTTTGAATAATTAGTTATCCCTATTTTTTTATTTTAATTATTCATTCTACCATTATTCTCAAACAAGTCCTAGGAGTAGTTTTGACATTGTCAGAATCATTTTTATCATTGTCAATAAAATCATTCCCTTTTTCATTCATCACATTTGTTAAATTAAAAAATAAATTTTAGAAAAGTTTAAAATCAGTTTAAATATAATAGTGATTTTAAGAAATCATTATATCTAAATTTCCTTTTTGAAATGACTAATCACTTCCAAACTGAATCAATTATTCGACCTCACCGTAAATCCACTGGTTATATATTTTCAAAGTTCCAATGAGATATTTAGGGATAAACGTAACGAGAGAGAGAGAGAGTAAAAAGTTAAGACAAAACCTGAAAAAAGACAGAGGAGAGTGAGTCCCTCCTGACGAAGGTGGTTTTGGCATTAGGCACCGACGCTTGGAGCATACACGACAGCGATTCCCACATATTCAGACTCAGTGAGTCACCCACAAACATTATCTTCTTCCCACTCCACTTCTTCAAAAGATCCACCCCGTCAAATCTAAACCCACCAAACCAGGAAAAGAAGAAAAAAAAAATATAAACAAACACGTGAATCCCCATAACAAATTTACCCAAATTCCAAACCCAATTTCGGGATATTTTAACAACATTTCCCAAATATACATCATTACCCCATTTCCCTTTCGGACACCGCATCATTAAACAACATAAAATGTCATCTTTTTATTTCAAAGGAAAATTATTAAGATTCGAGAGTGAGGTGAGAAGGCCTACACTAGAAAACAACAGCCCAAAACAACACCCACAAAAAGTAAAGAAAAGAACACGCCCCAAACAGACCCCATGAGTGAACACAGTAATAAAACACTTTTTATTATTTACAGTAGAGAGAGAGAAAAGATAGAGATAGAGAGAGAGAGAGGACCTTGGAAGAATACAGGAGTCGGGTCGCCATGTGTACTTGAGGTAAAGGGAATCGGGTCTGCCAAATTTTTGGCAATCAAACTCGGCGTCTATGAAAGGACAGGTAGAAGAATTGTAGAGAGGGAAAGAGGAGTCAAGAACCCATTTTCCCTGAAACAAATTACACCCACTCGCCTGCTTTCTTCCTCTCAAGGCGCTTCTTTTGTTGAGTACTCCTGCTGCGTTTGCTTGTTGCAGAAACAGCAACCAACAAGAAACTAAAATAAGTCTGACCACCCCGAAACCCATTTCTCGGATTTTTGGGCCCCAAAATGCTCCAGAATGAGCCTTGATTGAGCTATGAATGTGAAGCTTTTTGCATCCTTGGCTGAGTTTTTATATATGGATCAAGTGGCTGCCCGAGTGAATGAGTGAGAGGGAGAGGAGAGAGAGAGCGCGAGCTCTGGGTAACGTGGGTTGGGAAATTTTATTATGGAAGGTTTAAGACGCTGGTTAAAAAATGGATTGAGAAAACCAATTTTAAAATGTTGGAATAAAAAATGATGAAACTTGATTTTTTAATTAAAAAATTTCAAATTAGGAGGTAAAAGTAAAACCAATCTTAAAATGTTGGAATAAAAAACTGAGGAACCTTAATTTTTAATTAAAAAAAATCCTAATTAGGAGGTAAAACCTTGGGTCTGAGTGTCACGGGAGGGCATAGCACCTTACCTACCAGGCTACCAATGCAAGTGGACACATGGTTTTCACACGTGACACATTGTATTTTGTTGACTATGTCAAAAAAAAATCATTTTTATTTTATGGCCTGCAATAGCCCTAAATTTAAAAGTACAAAAAATAAAAATAAAAATAAAAATAAAAATCCCATAGTTCTTTTTCAAAAAAGTAATATTATCTAGTCTAGAAGAGGGGAGAGGAATTGGTAAGAAAAGGGAGAGGGGAGAGGGGAAGGGGAAAGAAAAAGTAATGTCTCTCACCGTTTTTAAGAGGGGCAATTTATCCATTCAAATTTTTTAATATCACTCTTATGTTAAAATAGAGGATATTAAGAAAATATTTTTGAAGTTAACTTATTGTTCATCTTACTCATTGGTGATCAGGTTATTTTATTTTTGAGTAAAAATAGAGATTTGAACGCATGATCTTACAGTGAGAGACAGATATCAATTACCGTTAAGTTAAGGTTGGTATCGAAAATCTTCTATCTATACATTTATTTTCTAAAAGATATATATGTTTTAAAATTATGCCCATTTAATTTATGGATTTAAATTTTATAAGCATGTCTCGACAATCAATAAAAAATAATAAATTAATTAATTATCAGTAATTAATAAATAATTAATTATCACTCCTAACAAATATATAGAATTTAAAGAGTTGATATGAAAATTTCCTAAAAAAAAAAAAGAGTTGATATGAAAAAGTTTGCCATTTATTTTCTCAATTGTTTAATGGATTTCTCTCTTATTCTAATTTATAAGAATTTAAAAAATTTAAAAAATTTTGAAATTCTAAATGATTTTTAAGTCCTCCACAGTACTATATAAAAAGAAGTTTTCTTCCCCATTTTTCCACCAATATTTATGTTATATTTTTTTTTTTTGTTTTTTATTTTAAGTTCCTTTCTGTTCTTGCCCACAAAGCCTTTTTAATCTTTGAAGTTTTCAAGAATGTGTGATACATTCTAAGTTTTTTTTTTTTTTCAAATGAGAATAGTGATACATTCAAGATACATGAATATGTTAGGGATGTGTCAAAGGAAAGTTTAGAAAGTACATAAAAATTAATTTTTACTTCTTTGTAAAAAAAATTAATTTTACTGAATTTTAAATATTATAATTATCATTTTTAAGAGTACTTAAATCATTTAAAATTTAAATTATTTTAGAAAAATACACTTGCATTTAGACGTGGGTTATACACTAGTATGGATAAATGAATAGTTTAAATGCATTTGAGAAACTTTATCTTCATATATAAAGTACCTTTTGTCTTTTAATATGAGAAATCTTATCTTCCAATAAATTAAATTATAAATTTGGTCATATTTAGTTTCTATGACCTTAAAAGTTTTAATTTGTGTTATATAGTTTGTTTTTCTACCAATTATCTCTATTGTCACCAACTCGCCCCTATTTTTCAATATTTTCCATTTAACTTGTTAGGCTAGAATTTAGGTTTAGAAAAAAAAAAGAAAAAAGAAAAATGGTAATGTCTCCAAAATAGTTTAAATTTTTAGAAGTATAGAGATAAAATTAAGATAAATCTAATTCAGCTAGAAAGACACATATTTTTTCTAATATCTTGAAGGTTCAAATCCTCACCTTCCATATTTATTACATTTAGAAAAATGAAAATACATATTTCACATTGAAATTAGGTAAAATCATAAGAATAAAAGAGTTAATTTAACTTTAAAAAATAGAGAAAAAGGATAGGAATGGTGTGAAAGGAAAAGTCAGAAGACAGAAGAGTGGGCTGGTTGGGTGATTGGGGGCCCCCTTTATCAGAAAACATTCTGGCAGGCAGAGAAGAGAAGAGAAGAGTGGCAAAATTAATTAGTGCCAAATGATCATATCACACAGTGGTGGGTTTGCTTGCTTGATGAACCTTCCTAAATGACTCAAATGCCATTTTCCATTTCCATTATCCTTTTCCTTTCAAGTCACACCACTCATCATTCTCTATGTTTTCCCTATTCTCATCCCAATAATTCTCCCTCACATTGAAATAGTTGAGTGAGAATGATAACATGAGCTTTTCTTTTAGCCCAATAATTTTGAAGATAACTCAATCACATTGTCAACATAGGTATCAGACCAGCGATAAAAATATTTTCAATAATTTTGTATAGCGTATTTTCTAAGAAGAAAAAGGAAGGTCACTTTTTTTGAAAAAGAGTCGAAAAGAAAAAGAAAAAGTATAGCTATGTTGGGGTTTGTTGAATGAAATAATTCATCTTAGTATGATTTAGGCTGCAAATTGTGTAGGGAAGGGACCCAATGTGGCTAAAAATTGAACCTTTTGATATGATTAAAGGTGGTAGATTTTAAGCTATTCTTTTGGTTTTTATCTCATCCTTTAATCAATTAAAAGAGTACCAAATTTAAAAGCTCAACATCATTTAATTTATACGGTGTTATTATTTGGCTTTCAAATTAAGAATTCAATAAAAATCGAGCTAACCAAATTAGATTCTAAAAACTATAATTTCCCAATCTCACTTAGGATGGTCTCCTAAAAATAAAAATAAAATCTCATTTAAGGATGGTGACATGAACTTAATAATATTAAAAAATAATAATAATAAAGGAGCTTAATCTGTCAAAAGAAACTAACATCACATGCCATCTCTACAACCCAAATTTGGAGACTTACTCCAACAAAAAGAATTGTTAGCAAGAGACAAAACTGACTTAACTACTCTATATGTTGCATGATTAAAATTGCCATAATAGGTACGTTACAAATTAGTTACTATACGTTACAAAATTAAACCACCCTTTAACACGCTGTAAAACTAAACTGCCCTTCGACAGGTACATTACAAAAATTAGACCTTTTAATAGGGTTACAGACAAAACCATCAAAAGAGTTGGTTATGACATTCGTGTAAAGCTAACTATAAAATTATATGTTAACATGAACATAATTTAATTATTCAAGACATTAATAACCTCTTTTTATATGTGAAAGATTCAAACTTCATCCCACTTTTGTAATATTATAATCTAGACTTTAAAATCAATGTCTAAATAAAATGATCTACCATCCTCCTATATCAGTAAGATCACTTAAAAAATAATCAAATTAATGCTCACTCTAACTCTAGATGTGGTTATGATCTTCCATAGAATTAGAAAGTACAATCATAGGTATAAATCCTTAGAAAAAAGAAGCATAGAAGAGGATCTTAGCTGATATGAAAATAAAGTAACCACTTGCATTACAAATATTTTTTTTAATCAACCATTAAAATAAAGGTAAAAGAAACTAATTCCACTAATTAAGAAAGAAAAAATAATTTAATCGATTGATTTTTTTCAAAAGAAAAAAAGAAAGGTATAAAGACAACAGATTACAGGTACAAAGGCAAGCAAAAGCACTTTGCAATATAGCCTAAAAGAGGAGTACAAATTGTAGAGAATGGCTCTAAAATGTGTTGGCTGCAAGAAGAAGTCAACCCTCAAACAAGAGGTGGGCTGCAGTTGAAGAAATGGTGGAGGCCCACTTGAGATGGCCATGGCCAATTCCCACAAATTGCTGATATGTCAAAATTATAATGGAGCACTTTTTTCTGCTTGGGACAAATCATGATTTGGATTCTTCTGTTCAAATTTGSCATCTCATATGGACCCTATGGTAGGACTTCATTTTCAGTGGGGTTTCTTATTAAAAATTGAAAAAGGATGGTCAGAATTTTTTTTTTTTTTTTTGTGCCACGATTAAGATCAGATGCATTGGTTGTTAATTTCATAATTCCATCCCGAGTTTTTGTTTGGATTACTGCTTCAAGCTGTCAGACCATGGGTACCAAATTACATTATTAAGAAAAAAAAATTATGCTTTGCTCACAATTTTTTGGTGTGTTTTTTAACCTTTCATAGAAACACATTTGAACTTCCAATCAAATTTCAAAAACAAAAATAGTTTTCAAAAACTACTTTTTTTTTTCTTTCAAATTTTAACTTAGATTTTAAAGATTTTTTCAAAGAGTAGATGTGAAAAATATATATATATATGTAAGTGAAATTACATTGAAAAGGTTTACCGTCGCTTATAGAGATGGAACCCGTGAATGTATAGAATTTGTACTCATGACTTCTCTACTGCAATAAACTCAAATAAAGGAAAAAAAAATTATATGGTATGGTGCTACTGACTTTTCAGATATTCCATGAAAATAAATTTTTGGGTAACTTTATGCTGGATGGATTTGTTAATTTGATTGAAAAGGACACAAGTGGTATGAACTGTGAATATGCTATTTTTTTCTTTTTTCAAATTATTAAATACGGATGAAAATTCTAAAATAATGAGCATTAAAATTGGAGATGCAGGGTATCGAACCCTGTACCTCTCGCATGCAAAGCGAGCGCTCTACCATTTGAGCTACATCCCCACATAGAATCTGTATTTAACTTAATATTATTCAGTTTCTTCTAGAATTTTCGCACGCTTACATTTCTTCAATTCCTTTGTTGGAAATTTAAATTTGATCTTTTCTGACATCTGCTAATACTTTCGAGTTCAATCATACATGGCATGAAGATTTCAACCTTAAAACTTTTCTAAAATTTAAGCGTTAGAACTAGAACCARAACCAAAACCATTTGAATTATACTCAGTCATATCCATTGAAAAATTTGTTTTCTTGTCCCTCATCCATTGAATGAGCCTTTTAATCGAAAAAATAAGAAGGGTTCTCTCATTTCATCTCTCTATTCTTTGTTTCGTTTTATTCTTCCCTCGTTTGTAAGATCTTTATCCTTTCACATTAACATAATCACAAGGCCATAAATATTAAAATTTATGTTCCATCAACCAATTCCATACATCAAAATCTCAGTTTTTCCATCATCATTGACATCTGCCTCCTTGGCTATGGAGTATTTAATGTTGCTAAAAGCCAAAAATAGAGAGCTTGCCCCATGAGATTTTACAGCAGATACATCAATTCACAATTAAGTATGAAAATAGTGGTCGTAGAATGAATCATAGTGAGAAAATAAATAGAAGCATATTCAAATGCTGAAGTTTCAAGTGACTTCCAAGGGGYTTTCCATGTCCCTGTCTACCTTATGGTTATGGACCATATTAAAATACATCAATGCAGGTTGGATGGTATGTTCTTTACAGGAATGGAATGAGCTACTAGGGTAAAATCAATCAAACATCTTTGCGAATATCCCATGTTGAATTCTTCAAGTAAAATGCCAGAAGGTAAAAAGTGGGTCAGCTCCTGCATTGACATTTCATAATGTTCATCTGAAGAAACATACCATATTACCACTTGATAATTGATAAAAAGATATAAGAGGGTTCAAAGCTGAGAATAATAAGGAACTGTTTGTTGGATAGACAACTGTGAATTCCATATGCAGTCAATTAAACCTGCTTTGTGACATGTGATCTTGTATATCTTGCAATCAACTTTTCTAGAGTTTTGATCAAAGATTTTGGATCAAATACTACACCAACTTTAGAATCACGTACGGAATCAACAACAATCTGCAGAAGTAACATTTTAATCAGGCACCAATGTAGCACAAATTAAGGAGGCTAATTATCATTAGTCAGTAACTGTAGTCCAACACTGAACAAAAAGCTTTGTCGATAATTCATAATTCTGCTGGACACGACATCAGCAAAGATGTTTAATCCAAATGCAAGGAAGTAATGATGATTATACAAAAATATGTACTTGAGCATACCACATCACAGATTCGTTGTGCAGATAAGGCTTGAGAATCTACCAAAATCTCACCATCTTTGGGCACCAAAATGGTATTGATGTACTGATCCGGCTACATAAATTAAGAGATTGCAACAAAAATGTTTCCTTCAGTGATCCAAAAATGTGTTTTCTTTGAACAAAGTTTAAAACTATCAATACACGAGTAATATGATCGAGCAGAGATATTTGTTACCAGATAGCGATTGCATATTTTCACAAGGCATGATAACAGTATTATTTTAAATTTGTAATTAGAAGAAATAACTTACAGTGTTATTTAAACAATTATGCATATCTCCATAAGTTCTATTTAAGGCATCTGAAATGGCAGTCGTAAAGCAAGAAGCAGTAAAACCACTCGTCTCCCGATCACATGTGCTATTCAATAGAAGCACCTGTCRTTGGAATGATGCAAATCGTGTTTTAATTGCATATTTAAGATTCAGTGCTGATTAAATGGATAAATTGACAAAAAAAGTTGAAAGCACAAAGCCAAAATTTTTATTTATCTTATATGGGCAATCTAGCAGATGACAGTGTGGAACTATAATTGTCCTGGTGTTGAACATATTTTACCTTCGGGCAGGATCTTGACGATATGATCTCACCAATTCCAAGTAACACCTAGAATAATTGATAAATGGTGAAAGGTTTAGCAWTAAAGTTGACTACCATATAATTATGTGATTTATTAAAGGAAAATAGAATTAAGGTAGAGTAGTAGAAAATTAAAATTATAAATTCATCATACCATTACATTATCGTATCAAAGAAACCTGTGTACCTAGTAAACTGAATTAAGCAAAATCTACTAGTATGATGCTTATAAATGATAGAGACTTTTACCAGTGATGGGCATATGGAAGTGAAGAGGGATCCCATAGCATAAACAATGCAGTCCACGTCATTCAACTGGTTGAGGACAGCAGGATTTGCTGCGGGGAAGACCTAATTAATGAAAGCACTGCAATTACCATGAGTCATGGAAATCAGATTTGAATAAGCATTTTAAAGAGTAGAATTTTGTTACATAAGACATCAAAGTAGAAAGACAAAAGAATCAAGATGCTTTCATATAGTTCTCATGATTGAGAAGTGTTAGTACATCTTAAACAGAATTAGGAGRAAAAAAAACAAAAACTATTCTCATACAATTTCCAGCCTCCATGAGATAGTTACAAAAAGTTACATAGTAGAAGTAGGTAAGATAGTCTACATTAAAATTAAGTTTTTTAAGGGAATTCAGAAGTGCGAGATATTAAGTTATTTACCTCATGCAGCAAATTACATCCCTCACTTGACATGTAGAATACCCTCTTTATCCTTGAAGGAAGTGCTCGAGCCGAATTGTTTCCCTATAGGATTTCCACATTTGAATGAATAAGAAAACTTGAAAGAGTAAAATGATGGCAAACATAGGTCATCATCGTTAGAAAATAACAACCTCAATATCTAATCGTCTAATCACACGCAAATGTCATTTTCAACTACAACGTTTAATCATCATKTAGGTCATCATGGTTAGAAAATAACCACCTCAATATCTAATCTTCTAATCACATGCAAATGCCATTTTCAACTACAACGTTTAATCATCATGGTGACAATCAAACATATTGAATAAGAATAATAAGTTGGATAATCATCATGGCAAAAATCAGTCAATAAGTTGGACATTAAATTAGATCAGTTATTGCAGCCAATTAACCTTCTACACTCTACAGTTATACTATTTTGTTTGAAATTTTTAGTTTAAGAATCTATTAAAAAGTAACCCAAGTCAAGGTACAAATCCCCTGTAATAAACTGATTTCAAGCAGGGCATTTTTATAAGTACGCATGATCCTTTGACCCACCAATAATCGACCCTTGACCACTTGTGCCACACCATTTCCATTATTTAAAGTCCCAAATCACCAATATTAAAAGCGTTTCCATGAAACACCACTGTAGATTATTTAATGGCCGATCAGCCTTAGTAACCGTAGTTAGAAATGAACTCTACTGTGAAATAAAAGACAAATCGTACCTTATTAATAAGTTCTGAAGGTCCATTAGTTGGATGAGAGATTTCATTCTGACCACGTATTATTGTCCCATCCTGAAGTAGATTGAAAAAATAAAAAGTTTTATAAAACTGGTTTTCACAGTACAATTTCATAAGCCTTCCATATTAGCATTGGAGAAACTTTACAGCTGTATCATAATATTTATGAAAAAATCAACTATATCAAGGAAATTTTAAGAGGCTGCCTTAAGAGTAGAGGAGAGAGCATGAAAGGGATTCACAATAAGTAGGCTTTARAAAGGAAAGGTTGAAAGAAAAATTCTTCAAACTTAACTCCAAAGGCAAGGTGAAAAATGAAATGTCTCTGACATTTTTTCACCTCTGAATGGAGAGTTTGATTACATAAGATAATTAAAATCATTATGAGCTCTTTCAGGTACTAATGATCATTCTTGCACTTTCTCATTGGCATGTATCATAAACTTTTGAGCAATATCTATAAAAGCAAGAGAATGTTGACAATCATACCCATAATTCACATCCTAACGTAAGCCTGTCATTAGTTGAAATCACTGGAAGAACAAGGCTGTCCGATGGGATGTCTGAGACACGAGAAAACAGAAATATTGCTGCATCTAATGACTGGAAAAATAAACGTGCCCCTGCAAAAAAGAAATTCCCGATGCTGCAGAAATCAAGGGAGTCAGTAAATCATGGTAATGCTAAAAAAATTCACCAATCGGTTGCAATAATTTGGAGTTAAGAAAAACCAACTTATATATATATATATATTATTTAGTTCACACCTCCGACAGAGCAATGGAAAACTTTTGCAACATACCTCCCATTGCTGAAACAGAATGACATTTCAGACCGTCGAAGAATCTGTAGCAATCAAATTTACAACATTTCATGTACAGCCTTTGGTAAAACCAATATAGACTARCGTAGGCACTATACTAATGTAACTAAAGGTGTAAAAGTAGAGCGGGATATCAGAAGAACCGCAAAAAACTAGTTAACCTATAATGGATTAACGGTGAAAAGCAAGAGATTGAAACTCTAGACTATCTTCTGAGAAATAAAGGTTTAAAAGGCAAAAATGTCGCCTACATTAYACCTGGTTCTGAAAATAGGCCAAAAAGGCACGAATAGTTTCCCTGTAGGGCTTTGAGACACCCTCCCATAGAGAATTTTCTCCTTCCACGATATCATACCTGACAAATTTTCATAGAGCAATTTATGTTACCAATTAAATCATTGGCCGCTATGAAACCTAGCAAATATAAGGGCAAGTTCATGCCACAAACAAATAAATACGGAACAGGTAACCAAAGTGTGCACTGTGCACCAAGCTTGCAGCTCCGTTTATCTCTGTCATTTGTTTATTACTAGTAGAGATGCCAGATTCAGAAGTGCGAGAGTTTAGATAGACAGTTTATTAACATTGTTTGCATCTCATGGCAACTTGATGAAGAAAGAAATGCTAGAACACACTACACTTATCGATTTAGAGGGGGAAAATGGAGCTACAAAATTAAAGAAATTCGGATGGTGAAAAAGATACCACTCGGATTTGGCCTCCTGTGCATCAAGTGGTAAACGATGACCTAACAATCTGCGCACCGCAAGTGCCTCCGCCGTACTCTGATCAGATAACCTCAAACATCTTGACCGTATATCTCCAACGGCCGGACCACCTGGGCCAAGATTCACTCAATACTGGAATACAGAATATACATACACACAAGGAAATGAACGATAAGCAAGTTACTCACCAAGCACGCGAACAATCTCAGCGGTGCTACCTCCGTCGTCGGAAACAGGAAGAACATGAGCCACACGGGTCGTAAAGTTTTTGAGCTCCTCGACTACGCCATTAAATGCAGTTCCACCTACACCACCAGAAAACTACTGGTTCAGAAGAGAAAAAATGAATGAAGCATTGGGAAATAGCGTTAATCGGAGTAGTTCCGTTCCCGCTGGGTTGTCGAAGAAAGTGGGGACGAAGACCTGAGAAGACGAGGAGGGAGGGCTGGGCGGGGGTCTGATTGGGAGCGGAGGAGCAATTGCAATGGGAGCGAGGAAGAGCCATGGAGGAGAAAGATCTGGAAGGAACATGGAGAGGAATTTTGGGGAGATTGAGGAACAGTGAGGGACCCAAGCTTGTATCCGCCATATTCGCGCGCGTACTCCACGGTCCTCAATCCTTCGCCGATGCTTTTTTTTCTTGCTCCCGCCCCCCGCCTGATCTTCCACCTCAGCATTCTTCTCCGGTTTAACTTTTATATTTATTTAATCAATGTATTTCAAAACCGGCAAGTTAAATTACAAGTTTCATGCAATTGCAAGAGTTATATTTATTTTGTCTCCATGCTAAAACAAGAGTTGCGAGTTCCTCACTCTAAAAAAAAATTACAATAATAAAATAAAATAACTTTTCGTACTTATATTCATATAATAAAATATATTTTTAGTTCCTAAAATTTGAGTCAGTATTTATTTCATTCACGAAGACTTTAAAACATAATTATAAATTATCCAAGTTGATTTGTGATATAATTTATAATGAAATTGGCAATTTAGCGACATTTGACAACTGCATGTTGGGAATGGCAAACCAGAGAGAAGGGTATATATTAGAAAGCCTTTTAATAGGCTCGTAAAAGATGTTGGGAGTAAGGTATAGTAGTAGATATAGATGGGTCGTTGTTGTTCTATTTGAATTGCCATGTGCAAATGGAATATGGCTTTTGTGTCCGTCCAAGTTTTTAAATTTCTGGATTTCGTCCCACTTGATTGACCTGCAGAAGATGATAATACATTACAGGAACGTGAAAGTTCATAAATATGGTCTGGATTTTATAATCTTTCAAAAAGGCAAGCTCTTGGAACTGGTGCTAGAAACCAAGGTCCTCCTAATTGTTGAACATTCCACTTCCCCGGCATTGGCTCGTCGAGTTATTATCTCCATATTCTTATACAGACTCTGCTCCACTAAGCTTCTCATTATCCTCTTCCCTTTCTCAATCTCGTTCATATTGAATGCTGAGCCTGCTGTAACTCTTCCTGTCTGAGGCCCAGAATGCGGCCCCACCCTCACCTGCCTCTCGTCTTTAAACCATTGAAGAAGTTTCAGAGCTCGCTTTTGAGCCAATGGAGTTCCTAAAAGGGCCAATTCCAGCAGCGCGGGGACGATCCCGGACTTGGCCAATCTCTCCCTTTGCGCCCGGCTCTGATGGGCCAGAATCATTATGATGTAAGCTGAGAGTTCTTGGCATTTGGGTTTCTCTTCCCATGTCAAAATCCCTATCAAAATTTGTGGGAATTGTGAGTTGCTTTCAAGAGCTTGCTTTCCCTTTGAGGTTACTGCCAAGTTTGCTAGCGTCGGCAGGGATTTCTCGGAAAGTTCTTTTACACAGGAAAATCTGAGTAGCGTTGGAACAACCCCGTTGGAGATTAAGGTTTCTGCATTTTCTAGGACGGTGGAAATGTTGAATAAAGTTGCCAAACAAGAAGTTTTGGTTTTGGGGTTGGATTCTGAATTGAGTATGGTTACGAGATATAAAACAACTGGCTCTGTTGAAGCAAGAAATAACTGGGTGTTTGCTAGAGAAGAAAGTGATAACAAAAGTTCTGCAAATTCATGGCTGGATGAGTCAATTGCAGTGAATTGGGCTTTTTTTGGCAGCTTTGATAAAATTCCTTCTTCCACCATTAGTGTCTTATTCCTGAAGAAATGCAGAGATAGAGACAGAAAATTAAAACTAAGCAATTGCTGTATTGATCAGTAACTCTGTAACAGAGTGAAAGATTTCAGGAGACTCAACACTGTGCTCAAAAAGTTGGTCAGCTATTTGTGAACAGCTTTTTGGTTAATTATTCAAGTTGTTCGATCAGAGCAACTGTCCTAAATCTTCGAAGCTTTAGATTGAGTTGATCTTCTACCTCCTCTTCACTAAAGTCGAGCAGAATTTCATAATTCAAGTTTGTATTCATGTATTAAAAATAGGTATTAAATAGTTAATTTCAAGAACATGGAATTTAACTGAAACATCGAACTAGAAACAGAGAAAACTTCATAAGTACTAATAGTATTTGATATTGATTATCTAACTTTCTATAACCTAATGACATATCATATCGTCACTTTAGCTTTTACTTAATGTCACATCAATTTTTAATTACAATTTAAGTAGACAATTAATACATTGACTTAACTGATTTATTTTACTCGGATAAATGAAAATATATGGATTATTATGACTGATTGCAGAAACCAGAATCATAAGTTAACCTAATTTCTTTTCAATTCAAAACAAATTAAGTTAGAAGAACCAGAAACTCCGAAGAGAGATGGAATGAACTTACAGGAAACTATCGTTAGCAAGCTCGATCAACGCCCTAACCGCCGCTTGAATTCTCTCCCCCGCCATCAACTGATCGGAATCCACCATCGCCACCAGAGCAGGTATAACTCCGAGATCCACCATCAATTTTCTAACCTTCGCRCTCTCTTTAAGCAACCTCCCAATATCCATGGCTGCCTTCTCTTTTTCCTCTCCGTTACCGAAGTGGAGACTCTTCACTGTCCTCTGCAACTGCAACACGTAGGCCCGATCATACTTCCGGATCATACCTTCTTCCTTTTCCCTAACTTTGGTCCTCGAAATATCCGATGGATCAGACGGCATGCGGAATCGCTTTCGCGATAATTTGGAGCGCAGGAATCGGCGGACGCGATTGATGAACCGTATTTTGACGTACGAATACAGCGAGATAGGAGGAGACATGATTGGTGATGGATTAGAGAAAATGAATTGATTTCTGATTTCTATATGAGAAATGAACAGAGAGAAGAAAGAACCGGAGGAGAGTGTGTGCTTCGTGGTGATACACAGAGGGAGCTGTCACTTCAATTTCAGAGCTTCACGAGCCATGGAAGTTATTCATATTCTTCTTGGCAGGTAATTGTTTTTCTGTTTTTTGTTTTTCTGCTAAATTGTATTTTTAGCTTTTTTGATATTAATTACAACACATGACATAAAAACGAAAGGAAAAAAAATGTGAGTTTTGGGTTTTGATATATATAGATTTAGTAAAAATGGTATAATATTTTTAGTCACATCGAATTCAATATTGTGAGGGTAGGATTTGAATTCTTGACCTCCTGATCAGAAATAGGTATCTTAACCATTTGAGCTATGTTCAGTTTGATAATAATAATATTTTTAGTCAACAAAATACTGAACCAAATTCGAGAAAGTCGAATAGAGCGTTTCGCGGTAGGCTCCAAAGTTCTCCCACGGGCCAACACAGCACAATTAAAAAGCATAGACGCATGTGTGTGAAATGTTATACCATTTGTCGACAATTTCCAATGTGTTTTTTTTTTTTTTGTCTACTTGTATTTTCGGGTCGTCTTTTTGTAATAATTCACCTTACATGGCAATATTGAGAATTGTACCAACGTCAATATTTGACATATACTATGCAAAAGAATGATGAGTGGCATTAAATATCAGCCTACATGAAGTTGAGAGCAATTTGAAAACAACAATACTTGGATGTCTTGTAGATCCATCTTCTTAGACCTCCACCAAAATGTTGATAGGTAAGATAAAAAATGAAGAGCTATCATATTTTCTATTTTAAAAATAAAAGTTTAGATATGGTCCCATTGGAGCAAATGAGATGTCATGTTAAAATAATACAGGTTAAAATACTAAGTTGATCCTTTGTACTTTCAGATTTGATCCATTTTAGTCCATGTAGTTTTAAAATATTTATTTTGATCCTTAAACTTTTAATGTTAGTTCATTTTAGTCCATGTATTTTTACAATGTTCGTTTGGATCTCTATACTTTTAAAAATTGATTATTTAGTCCCTATTTGCAAAATTTAAGCACAAATTGTACTCAAAATGGAAATACCTTAATATAAAGTCATGGTCATATTTCAAGAAATATATTGAATGTAGTGTCGTGTTGAAATTGTGATAGAAAAAACGAGATTAAAAGTAAAATTAAGAGGCCAAAATGGCTAATTTCAAAAAAAAAAAAGAGAGAGAGAGAGACCAAAATGACTACTTTTTGAGAGTACATGGACTAAAATGAACATTTTGAAAGTACAGAACTAAAATGAATCCAAATTAAAATCCTGTGACAAAATGAACCAAAATTGAGAGCAAGAGACTCCACTGGTATTTTAACCTCTGCAAGAAAAAAATTAAAAAAAAGAACTACTTTAACCTGTAATATAATGGATTGAGAAGCTTGCTTGGAAACACGTGTTACACGGGCAAAAGTTAATAAATTGGAAGATGGTAACGGCCAATTGGAACCTTGCACTAATATGTGAGCAGAGTGGGCAGTATTAATCGGGTGAGTGAATTTCCACTACCCAGTTTTGGATTTTACCAAGCAAGGCCTTATTTCAATGAATTATTACCATATCCCCGCGCCATGGAAAAAAAACAAACATGTAGATGTTTGGAATGTTTGATAAACTCCAATTGAAGTGGTATGTGCTTACAATGGGTAAAGGAATGGACGATAAGTTTCGACTTTTCGATTTATAAAACTTATCATGTAACATAAAAAAGAAAATTTCATAAATTATTTTGCTCGTGGAGTTAGGGAATCGCAATCTATAATAAGTATTAACTATTAAATATAAGCTCGGTTTGTTAACATCAAAATTCAAATTCTGAATTTCCCCTGCAGTAAGTGATATGGAAAATTGGAATCGCAAATAGAATAATAGATCATACAAATATAAGATACAATGTGGCCAATCATAATCCAAGAGCATTCCAACTTCTTGGGCTGATTGCGCCAACACCAAGCATACAATGTTTACATATGGTACACAAAAGTAGAAATGACAACCACAACTCAATAGTCAATATATCACACAACGGGTTTTTTGTGTATTTGATTATTTCCACAACATGTAGGCAAATGCAAGACGAAGAGATGAAAACAAGCAGTGTCACCGTCGACGCAAACAGAGTTTATGATCCGGAGGAGGAGCTTGACGTATCGAAGCTAGACAGCCTTCGCCTTTTTGTTGAGAGTGTTGTTCTTGGCGAGTATTCTGGGGAAGAAGCCTTCTCGAGCACAAAGCTTATTGCCTGGCGAACGGATGATGCGAGATGTCGAGAAGCATCAGAATGGTCGCCATTCTCTGCAATGGAACTGGTGAAAAAGAATGCGTTCTTCACCCTGGCTCCCAAAGTTGATATTTCTGCCTTCAACAACTTTAGGTGAAAGGAGTCAAGGGTTTGTTTGAGATCAGAGAGAAGCTCGGGTCGATATTCACAACAAAGAGTTGCCTTGAAGGACATATATCCATTCACTTCAATTCCACAAGGTTCAACTTTGACTTCATCGGTGTCCATTGGAACGAAAACGCCATTGCTGGCTTCTGAAGCCTTCTTTTTCATCTCTTTTACTTGGCTGACAACTTCAGCGAGCAGTGTGGCTTTGTCCCTCTGATTACAGCAATTCATCATCAGAAGGTTTACAGGAAAAGATCAACAGAAAATTCTTCAGAAAGCGGAACCAATCGCTACTAGTCCACCGATTGAATTTAAGCAACTAAGTAGCACATTTGGAAGATGTTTGTTCTAGCAAATTCAGCGGAAGAAAATCTAGTGAAAACATAAAAGCAAAATATCAACTCTCGAACTTCTCAAATTTGAACTTATAATGAATTTGCTCGAACTTCTAAAATTCAGTTGGATTGTTAAAGAATACAAATATATCAGTTACCATAGATCAGAAAGTTTTCTGGATTGCTACAAAATATGCAAGATACACATGTTGAATACTAACCTCTTTCCTTTATTTTTTTTTTTCATTTAATCTAAAATCTCTGAGTTCAGCAACAACAAAAATTCTGCATCCATCAATGATATCATTAAATTACAACCAAACTCATTATCCATTAATGTAGAAACCAGAAGATTTCAGGATGTTATGATGCATAATCTTACAGCTTATAGATTTCTGAGTCGTTTATCAGGAAATCCTGTTTCAATATATTATGATAAACAAATAAAGTAGTA